CGATACGATATGGTGTTCACTAAATGTATTGTTAATTTTGACCCACTCTCTTCGATTTGACAAATAATTATTTCACGGAAACCTACATTTTCTAAAGTTGTTAAAAGCGATTATCAGTGATAGACTCGAATACCTTTGCCAAGTCAACAAAAACACGCAGTTAATTTGACAATATCGAGATACGCATATGTTACTTGTTAATTCTACAATAGCATCTTGAGTAGATTTGCCTTCTTGAAAACCATATTGCTGTTCCGCAATTAATTTATAATTTTTGCAAATTCGGTGAATCGCTTTTTTAACATTTTTCAAATATTTTAGAAAATTGCATAAGATGGAAATTGGTCGGTTATTTCGACGAGTCATCAGTAGCCTCTTCGAAGTTAAAGGTTAATAATGCCATGTCACATATTATTTATCTATAATTCTATATAATTTTTTATTTTCAGCAAAATATGGGGAGAAGAAAGCCTTCCTATAGTATTGACGGTACATGGCCGAATGGACAAACGCTGGAGCCTTTGACAACTTAATACCGCTATTACCTGATAAATTCGTTACGTTTGCATAGATTTACCAGGACATGGCAAATCTTCACATTTTCCACCTCATCTACCTCTGCATACGCTCAACTTTCTACTGGTCTATAGGATTATGAGCAAGTACTTTGATGAAAAAAAGCTTTATTCTATTAGGTGAGTGATATAATACCGAAAAGACGATATAGTTTCGTATCTTATTTCCACCATTCTTGTTTATTCCCACATACATGCGGTGTTGACATTTGAATTGACAGTGTACTGAACGTGGAGCAAGTCGGCATCTTGGTTTTGTTTTAAACAGAAACATCCTGTAAAATAATTCAATATGCAAGATTCGAAATGCGTTTCATCATTGATCACTCTATTCCACCAGGTATAGTTTCGTTAATAAATGCATACAGGTAAGTCAAATTGCTTTTGAGATTTTTTTCAATGTTGATTAAGAAATGACAATCCGGCCAATTAATTTCTTCCTCGTATGGTTATCATTTGTAATTGGTTTTCCTTAGAGTAATGGGAGCTACTCTTGAGTAGGTTTATTCTGGACTGGATATCACATAGCAACAGGGTGGTTAAAAAAGATACAAAATCCGAGAAGTAAACGTTGAACATGGAAACCAGCTTATATTTATAGATTCAGCAAAAAGTGAGATTAATTTTGTATCCGGTTTCATACAATTAATAGTTTCCGAAGCCTATGGAAATTTAATGACAACATGATGGTATGATTAGAATTCAACATGACGTTTCGTCTCTTGCCCTCAGCAATTTTATTTCATTTTTCTTCTAGATGCCATGTTTAATTTTTTCATAGGTGAATAGAGTTTTTTATTCTGATTCTAAGAATATACAATATGTCATGCACTGACATTGCCAAACCTCAATTGTTTCCAAAAAACTTAATTTCCTAAGTAGGCCTCAAAATTGTCAGATAGTCATTTGCTTCGTAATATGATCAGCCAAGCAAGCTTTTCAGTTTGAACGACCTACGTGTAGGTTTTAATGATGTGATGTTGTACATGTCTTAACACAGATTAATATTTTAAAACCTCAAATATCTGGAAAAGTAATATTCCTAAAGTTGGTCTTGATTCATCAAATAAAGAACAACCTAATGGTAAAACCTGATTGTATTATTTAAGGATCGTATTGAAAACAATGGGAAGAGTACTATTTTATGTAACTAATGGAAACATGTTGTAGTAAATAAAAGT